TTTAGTTTATAGTTAAAAGTTTTTTAAGTGAGTAATTAATATGGGGAAAACAGCGGCAGAAAGAATGAGAGAATATAGAATGCTCGAAGTAAAAAAGATATTTTTATGAAGAAAGCTAAAGAATATAAAACGAAAATTTAAGAGAAAATTTAAATTTAAAAAAATAAAAAGGCACTGATACAAGCAGAAGAAATTCAGGAAGGATATTCTCTTTATAATATTTCTTAGGCATTGAAGAAAGCTATTTTAAAAGCAAACCGTGTATTACCTGTATCTAATAAATAATATTTTTGCATAAGGATAAAGATGGCAATATTAAAAAATAATAATTTTTCTTAAAAATTTTTTTTATAATTTCTGCATTACAGGATGATAAAAAAGACATCGATTTTTATAAAAAAATTGTTTTTAAATATAAATATATGAGTTTAAATTGAAAATACAAAATAACTGAAAAATGTACTAACAGTTTTGAAGGGCATAACATCAGTTACTGACACTGGTTATGTATCACCACTATGCTAAAAGAACTGAACATGAATAAAATAAAAGTATTCTTGAATAGTACTATAGATAAATAAACCTGTTTATGACGAACCAAGCACTTAGTCCCTAATATTTTTACCTGTATGGCAAGGCCAAACTTCAGTTATGTTCTATTGAATGAGAGGACCAATTGAACTTGATTACTGATTAATCTTCCTTTGTTTAAATTGAAGAGTCAAACAATATTAATAAAAGATTATACTTTTAAAAACAAATATCCTCTAGTGTATTTAATTATTAATATGTTATTAGTTCTATGTTTATTTTACCTCTTAAATATTGTTCAGATAAAATTGTGACATAATTTGAGTAAAAGGGTTTTTGAACAGGGCGGTTTAAACCAGGATTTAAACCGTGGATTAATCCACTCTGTCCTAAATCTTGCCAACCCTGCTGCCAAGTTTCCTGTATTTTACGACTATCTCCTGTTCACCTGTACATTCTCAAATTTCTCCGTATCTTTTGAAAAAATTTTTTGCTGATAAAATAAATCTCCTGTTCACTTGTACATTCTCAAATTTCTCCGTATCTTTTGAAGAAATTTTAAAAAAAAATTTTTTTTTTGCTGATAAAATAATTGATGATGGCTTGCCTGGGTTACAAGTTTATTTTTTAACAACAGTGCCTAATTTTTTTAATGGCCCTACTGTATTTTGTATAAATACCTTAGATATTGTAATACCATTGCTAGTGATTACATTATTGTTTATTATGACAAGCTGTGGTTTGCTAGTTTGTTTACTTTTCCCAAGATGTTGTAAAGTTTTCTAAAGAATCACAGCAACATTCTTGCGTTAAAGAGTTCTTGTTTTAAGAATTTTTATACTTGACATCTCTTTCATTTGTAAATATTTTTTCTGGTAGAATAATAAATGTGATTAGAGTTAAAAGTAAACTTATACATAATTATTCATTTAAATTAAGTTGGGAAACTATCAAGGATTTAAATTTATAAAGACATTAATTTCTTGAAATGTGTTGTTAATGATTTTACTCCAGAAATTTTCCAAATTTTTGAGTTGGACTCACAATCACCCTTGAGATACAAAAGTATACTGCACCAGGTGAAAGGTTCTTTACCATTCTGTGTTATTTTTTGCAACAAATATAAAAATGGAAGAGACCTACTTGTTATTTTATTTTTATATTTTATGACCGTCGTTGAACAGCGGACCCAATTTTATGGGTTTACGACTACTAATGTTCAACTCCGTAGCTTTGTGGTTTTGAACCCAATCCAAAAGACATGGGAACTGCTCGATCGAGTATTGGGAGAAATTTGCCTTCGTGGAGGACTTTTTGATGGAGGTAACCCGCATTTGCGTTACATGGAGAGGAGGGACTTTAACCCCTGATCCATCTACCACTGAGGATATTTCACATCAGCACTGTGGTCGGTATCGACTGGGATTCGAACCCGGTTCTCCTCATTGGAAGGCGAGCGCTCTGTCTCCTGAGCCATTTGACGCAGGCCTATCTGTTAGTCATGAAAATATACTTAGCGTCTATTTAAAGAAAAAAAAGTGTTACTGGTCACATTTCTTCACTTTTCTTGAATGCTGCTCTCTGCCGAAAGTTTCCTCCGACGATGCACAGGTTATATTGGTATTTCAAAGGTAATCTAACAATAATTTACTTTGATGAATCAATTAATTGCATAGGTATATGGAAAACTAACTAATGTCTGCCAAGTTGGTTATCAAAGTCGCTGTCAATTAAAATCATTTAAGGGAAAACTTGTTGCAAATTTGGAATATCTAGGAACTCTTTTTCTGTTCCCTTCCTTTAAAATCTTTTTTGTGAAATAAATAAACCTTTGATAGTGTATTAGGCAAAAAATTTTCATTCAAAAATATTTAAGTACTACTGATCAGATCTTGTCCTTGTCTGAGAGCCCTTGGCCAAAATAAGAATTAGAATTTTATATAATAAGTCTAATAAGAATTTTATATGTCAAGATTTTGTTTATCTGCTAATTAATCCTGACTTAAAAATCAGGGTTGAAGTTTTGGACGTCCTAAACTTGTTTTGGACAGGACTTGTGGGTTTTACTGTCTTAAACTGTCTTGAAGTGTCCAAAACCTAGAACTTTGGTAAAAGATAAAAATTTCTATCCGTGTAATCATTGTACACATAATAATCTATTATATATAATTCTCTTACGTGGCTCCCAAATTTTGGCTGTATTTCTTTTCGGCTGGTGGCAAAAATTTTCATTTTTAAAAAAGTACTTCGTACAACTAAATAAGATTCTTTTCACAACACTTAAATATTTACTTTATTTTTTTCATATATACAGCGAACAGTCGGCAAAGAATTCTGTTAGGTTAAAAAACATTTCGCTAAAAAAAGAACGAATTCTAAAAGAAATAAAAATAAACAACTTAAAAAATATAAATGCTGTTGCCAGCCATAGAAAATTTTTGAAAGTTAACTTAGCAACATAAATCAAAATGACATAGAAGCGCAACTAGATCAAAATTATGATACCTGAGTGCTTGACGTAACAAATCCTTCAATTCTATAAGTGTTGTATCGCTAAACACCCAGATTAACAATTGTGTTTTAAAAGAAATTCTATAAAAAGTTTTAAATAAAAAAACTTCTATCCAGCTACTTCTACAACTGCTTCTTAAGGAACTTGGCTCATTGATTAAAAATATTGTATGTAGGTATGTGATTTTCCTATTTTATCCAAATGGGATTGACTCTTCCTTTGAGGTATCAAAGGTTTGACAATTGAAAGTTCTAGTCAACCACTACTAAACAGCATTTTAAGGAATATTTTGGTCTGTTTGTAATTGAATGTTTCATCCAACTGAATTACTTCAGGGCCCGAATTAGCCAAATTGGGGCCTGGGGCAAAAGCTTTTCTGCCCCCCCCCTCTGCTTCACTACTTCTGTAATGAAGAATTGAACTTTATGGAGGTATTTAAATTTTTCCACATTTAAATTTGTCCATCGTAATTGCCAAAATTTAACTGAATTCTGCACTAGAAAGCAATGAATTTACGAAACATAGATTTTTTGTCTTCATATGATAAATTAATGAAGAAGCTAACATAGAACTGACTGATTTTTACTCTCTACTAATATTTTGTTTTTTAAAAAAGGTTCATTTTATTAAAAATTTATTAGGGGCCATTCACTAATTTACATTTAGTTTTCTCAATTTGCTTAACTCTTTAAATATTTTTATAAATTTGGTATTATCAATATTAATGTTGTTAATGTTTTGTTAAATATACTATTAAAAATAACATTTATTTAAATTTTAAGAAAATTACGCTCGATAACCTTAAATAATAGCTAATAACCTTAATAATAATAACCTTAACACCTTAAATAATAGTTTACACCTTAATAACCTTAATAACCTTAAATAATAGTTTTGAATTACCTTTTACAGAATTAAATAAAGTCATTATTAATTTAAAAAATAGTATGAGCCACTCAATATTGAATTTATTTAAATTTCTTTTGCCAAATGCTCTTTTTTTTTTAAAGAAATATTTCGGCAATATTAAATAAATTTTTAGGTCTTTTCCAAACTGAAACACCATTTATTCACTTGCTGTATCATGAAATGGTGCATTGTTAGGGCGTTTTTTAAAGAGTTCTGCTTTTCATGTTTGTCAGGAAAGGACTTAAAATCATTGGATGTAGAAAACTCAGAAATTTGGCAAAATTCAAATTTAATGGATGTTGGACTAGATACCACAAAAGCGATGACATCCTTATCTTCTTCAGAAAAAAAATTTTGTATTTAGGTGCCAGGTCTTTTTACTTGGCATGCACAAAAAATTTATTAAAAGCATTGCTTCTTAAAAATAGTCTACTGTACCATCTTAAAGTGTTGCATCCTGTAATGAGAATGGAAGAAACTTCTATTAAGTCAATAAGATATCTGAAAACCGTAACCCCATCCATTATAAAACCTGGAGAGGCATCTTTGTTACTAAATGAAGGGACAAGGTTACATGGAGAACCAGAGGGTTATTCTTCTGACTCAAATGAATATGCACCAATTGATGTGTTTTGGAAAAACTATTTTGTGAAGAAAGATACAGGGTATCCGCGCACCTGGAAAGTCATGAAAAATCATGGAAAGTCATGAATTTCAGTATTGAACAAAATTTGTCATGAAAAGTCATGATTTTTGCTGTTTTTTTGAAAAAATCATGGAAAGTCATGGATTTTGGAACTGTTTTTTAACTTTTAAAATCAATATATTATATACATATATATATAAAAATCAGTTGATTTAAATCAATGATTTTTAAAAAAAAATCAGTTGATTTTAATCATGATTTAAATCGTGATTTAAATCAAGCTGATTTAAATCAACGAGCCCTGGTAAAAAGTGCTTAATTCAAATACTATAACTAAATATAGAGCTGCCAACTGTAGTGGATTTTCCAGTAGTCTACTGGTTTTTTGCCACTCCTGTTTTTTGTACATTTTAGAAAATTCCCTAAAATTGAGTAAATTTCTTACAAAAATCCATATTGAAATAGATTATTTGCTTGTTTGAATATTTAAATAAGTATTATTAATACATAATGAAGCGAGCTTCATTTATAGAAATCAATTTAAAGCTTCTTTTTTTTTTTTGTTCTAAAATGTTCAGTTGATTTTTATTCAGAACTCCATTTTAAATTAATTATAAAAGCTCTTTTAACTATCTTTTATGAATTAAATGCCTTTTACTTTTCAAAATTATGAGTAAACATAGTGCGTAACATTTCAAGTACATTTAAATGACAATCATTACTGGAAAATATTGCAGTTTTTCTATTTTGATTACTATAAAAATCCCTAAAATTCCCCATAATATAGCGTACATTATGCAACAATTATTATGAAATTTATAATATTTTTCCTATCCTTGTGTGCAGCTATATTAGTAAGTGAAGTAAGCTTACTAATATCGCTGCCAGCTACATTAGTAACTTACTCAATTTTAGTTCTGCCTAAATGTTATGAACATTTCTAATAATAATAATATAAAGATGTTAAGTGAAGTAAGAAAAGTTAACTGAAATTTTTTAATTTTTTTACAGACTTTAGTTGAGTTGAAGGAAGCCATAAATAAAGCTGGTAATGACAAAGATTGTAGGCTATTAATTTTAAATGGATTTGGGCAAACATTTTGCTTAGGGCTAGACGTAAGACCTCTTGTGGAAGATCATAAAAATGAAGTTGTTGGTGATATTGCCAATTCTGTCAAGTAAGTGCTGTTCTGTAATATAATTTAGTTTTTAAATTCTTAAACTATGAAATAATGGTTCTTTAACTGTAGATTAATGAATTACTGTGAAATCTAAAGTATGGAATTGTTGATCATTTTGAAGATTTTTTACATTGTCAGGGATCTGTCCTGGACAAATTTACTTCTGTTTTGCGGTACTATCACAAATAATTTCACAGGACTGCCACTCCACAGGGAAAACCTGGAAAATACAGGGAATTTAAAAATCATCTAAAATAACAGGGGAAATGCAGGGAGTTTTGATTTTTTTTGCATGAACAGGGAAAATGCAGGGAATTTTGCTTTTTAAAAAATAATGACCACTCAAAGCGTAATCTATGAGATATTTAAGGATGATATTTCAGCTATACTAAACTATTTCATATACTTCTGGCATTATTTAAGTATGTTCAAGCTTTTCCTTTTTTTCTCTAACTTTTCCAGCAATTGTAACTAGCATAATAATCTATATATATATAGCTCACATCATCATTATATATACAGTGCAACCTCGAAAATCCAGACTGCTGAGGGTTTGGAAAGTCCGAATTTTAGATACCCTACTTAAATTGATAGAATTATCGAAATTTCGAATCGACGTCAATTTTAACAACATAACATAAATATACATTTTAAATAATAAATAAGAGACATTAAAAATCAAACTTTTGTCATTTTCTCCCGTAATCGATCTTTTAAATAACATAATTTCAGCAATTAAAACTAAAAATATAGGCTTAAAACGTGCCTCTCCGTTGAATTCCCAAAGCCACACTAAACACAGAGCATATAATTTATCATAGTCAACCGATGAGCTAGCGCGTCATCGGTAACGTGCTAGTGCGTCGGTGGCAGCGAACGTGTTAATATAATTTTTAATTTTCACAAATTTTGTCTAAATTTGCACAAGAAAGGTACCTCTTAAAAAAAACCTAGACAGACCCCAGTAATTAACCACTGACAATTTCCAGCTGGTTCACTAATAAGAACTAACTGTTTTGTCATTGTATATGGTCCTCTGTCTACTCAAATTAGCAACTTGATTGTTCTACATGGTCTTTTACTTTCATGAACATACTGGATTCTGCATTGTTCTTTCTATATTTATATTTTTTGTTCTTCATATTATATATTTTTTATTTATTTTATATTTTTTAGTTAGTTCAAAATTTTTAAAACATGCTGTTATAAAATTTCGTTTTTCAAAGTAATATGTATTTACAGGGATTTGATTAGTACATTGGCAGACTTCCAAAAGCCTTTATTTGCCATTGTGAATGGTGCTGCATATGGCCTTGGATTAACGATTTTAAACCATGCAGATATTACACTGGCCACAAGCAATGCATCTTTTTGCATGCCATATTCAAGACTTGGGTACATGCCAGAAGGGGGTGCTACACTTACCCTCCCACAAGCTGTTGGAACAACTATAGTGAGTTTCTTTATGTTGCTTTCAAATCTGTCCCAATGAAATATTTAGTTCGTTAGGCGAAGTAACCATACCTACCAAGCAGGATTGGGGTTTTGGACGTCCTAAACTGGTTTTAGACACGACACGTGGGTTTTACTGAGTAAAACTGTCCTAAACTGTCTTAAAGAGTCCAAAACCTTGAAATTTGGTAAAAGGTAAAAATTCTATAGGTGTAACCATTGTACAGTCAGCAAAAAAAAAAAGATA